AGAAATTAATAATTTAAAAATATACCGCAGGGCAGGGAATTCAAGAAAATATTACTTTTAAAATATTTTCTCCAGTTTAGTAAATATTTTGACTTTGTGATGCGAACTGTGTTAATATTTCAAACTGTGCAGGGAAAAAACTTGTTTTGTTTAATTCTAAACCTATATTTTTCAGTCACGGATGGGATATTGGAATCGTAAGACAAATGTAAGGCATACGTCTTCCGAATCGTGAGGGCTTGCGTCGCGGAATAGCTTGCTTTACATCCTTGTAAAATCATGCTGAAAGTTACTGGATTTGCTTTAATTCATGTGAGTTTTTCTCTTATCTTTCTTGTTCGAGAGCATGATGCCTCATTATTATTTTATACTGAAAATTTTGAAGTCTTGAAATTTTGAAGAAAAATTTTTTAACAAAATTAAGACTACAAGGAAATACTCTTGGAAAAATACAACATTGTTGTTGCAAATTTTATTTGCATTTCAGAAACCCAAAAAAATGCTCGAGATTCATAGAGAGAAACACGAGTTGACCTCACTTCATTCCCAAATTTTTTGTATTTGCTGTAACTTTTTCAAAAACGAATTTAACGATCTAGATGCGATTCTCATTTTGTGATTTGCCTTTTCTTTCGAATATCCTTCATGCATTCTGACGCTCGATATATAAAAATAAACTACTTTTTCCTTTTCACAACCGAATAAATATTGGTATTTGTAAAGAGAAACAGCTGCTGCGAAAGGAGAAAAAACCGTTTCTTCACAGGTTCAGTCGAATAACTGTAATAAATTAAACATCTAAAAATAACCCTTTGCAGAAATATTTTCCATCATCGGATCTCCTCGAAATTTCTTTCAGTCCGTAAGGTCTGGAGCATGTCTCATTATTTTCCTTTGGTAAAGTTCATAAGCCATGGGAAAGTTAATTCCTTTTATATTTCAGACGTCATAAACATTCTTGGGAAAATCAGCATTCTAAGACCGAGCTAAAACTTTACCATTTTTCCTCGTATATCCTCTGTTTACACACAAGGTTCTTTTGCTATTGATGATCGTAACAATATACATCGCGCTTCCTTTGGTTCGTGTCAGATTACGGGAGGCACAGAGCTCCATACACTGGCACACCTGTAATATTTCGTTTCGCAGAAGTAGAACTGAAGGGATTTGCGTATGGAAAATGGCCGCACTTAGAATAGAAACCTAGATATGTCTAATCAGTCGCGCGCTTGTATGTCTTGAGTGAGCTGATTTAAGCTGCATGGGTACATCGATTTTCATACGATTTTCATTTCCGACGTCTTTTCCTTAATATTTCCTGCATACATCATTCAGAAAAACCATGAACCTCGTAAATCGCTATGAATCGACCAGATAACCACGCAACCAGAGATGCAGACAACCAATATGCCTCATATCTACTCGTTCATCGATCATGTGCCACTCTGTGCAGATGAACCTATTTCATAGTGTCATTTGCTAACGAGGTCTGTCTGGGGCTCGATCAACTCGAGAAGAACTCAAAGTTTTTTCTTTGTTCAATGCTTGTGTTAATTTTCTTTATGACCGATCGATGGTTTTACAAACTTCTTTTTCGCCATAGAAAATGTTGAATTGTACATAAGTAAATCTCAAACACTATCAACGTTGCATGACTAGTAGCAAGGAAGGGGCGGAAAACAAAATGTTCAGCACTACAACAACAAATTTACAAGTTCTAAGGCCTTCGAAGTTTATTACAATACCAAAAATTCAATGGTGTCTTTCAGCTGATGCAGCTGACAATCAGTATGGCGCTCGCATCTGACGACTTGAAGATCAAATTTACAGTACCAACACAACAGCCTCTAATACCAGGGTGAGTATGGTTTACGACTGAAACTTAAAAAGGCTTGGGGAAATGTTTGGAAGGATAACACGGGATCTAGAGCACCACGCAAAACTTTCCTAAGGATCTCTCTCAGGGAGTCGTTGGTAAGGTGGGGAGGGGAGGGGAGAGGGAGATTTCGTTACGCACAGGGCTCAGGCAAGTGGTTCAAAGGGCTGATAACGCAATACAACGGATACAACGCTATCCAGCCCAAGAACAAAGTACAATATAATTCGGCTGGAGTTCGAACCCAGACCTGTCGATCTGGAGTACAACCGGCCGCCGTGTTCGTTTACATCCCTCATGACAATGATCAATCTCATGATATCCTCTTGATATCCGCCCATGATCGTGAATTTTACTCCATTCTGTTTATCATTTCTGATAGAGACGAAACTCTTCTTCATGTGGACTGTCATACCGCAACTATTAAGAGAGAAGCCATCCAAGCTTTGACTATGATATTCAGCGTACCGTATTTCCTGCAATTCAAAGGAATCACCAGCTCAGCTGGATATGGTGAACCATCTTCATATCGTAACGAAAGTGGTCGGCTGATTGTAGAGGTGAGCACTCAGTGAATACCTAGGCCTCTCCGTGATGAAAAAACTGTTGCCTTCTCTTTGTATAAAAACGTGTATACCTGGTGTAAACGAGTGCTAGCTAGGAAATTGTTGTTTTGTCCTTTTAAGAGAGTAACCTGGCAGGTTTCAGGGTATTTTTATGGCTCCATATCAAGGGCTACCGAGACCTTAGACGCAGAAACTAATTTCTTGGTATCTGAGAAAGCCTAAGTTTTCTTTTGAACGTCAGAAAATCTTTAGAGAGAATCATTTTGCCACATCTCGCGTGGAACTGAAACTGGGGATGCCTTTGATCATTTTGTTCAAAGATGTCCCTCTAACATTTGCAAACTTGTTCCATTAACCATATCAATTGAACGGTAACGATTTTATTGTCTGTAGCGTAGACATTGAAAGACTGAGAGTACATTCACTGGACCTGTTAGAAGTTTTTTCAGTTTTGTTGCGTTCGACGTTAGGAGAACGCTTCGTAATCTTTGGGGATCCTGTGGTCGATGGGATACCTGTGCATGCCAGGCGTGAAGATTCGAGATTTTTGGTTACTTGGACGGGCGATGTTCAAAATCTGCGCCATTTTGAATAATTATTAAGCGCGCGCACGAATTTTAAGCCCAATAGCCGGCTATTGTTCATGTTGCTCTTTAAATACTTCGTCTTTCTCATTTAATCTCTCAACTAATTTCCTCCTCTGTTTTTGTATGATTTTAGCTAAATTCATTGAACTTCTAACGCACTTATTAATCTTTGATTACTACTAGTAAATAAAGTACTTCAGACTTCAATTTTTTCCTCATTTCCCTTAAGGAATGTTTTTGTTTTCAAGCGCAGCGCACGTGAACCTGTTCATTAGCCAATCACGTTTAGAGACCATAAACATGGCATTTAGGTTGATGCGGATACACTCGTGGACATTCGTAGACACTCGTGGACACTCGTGGACATTCGTAGACACTCGTTTTCTTAGTTGAGTTAAAAATTTTGAACATTTTGTTGTCTCAAACTTTCTCGCTTGGTTTTGTTGGAGAGTTCAAAACTCCTTGAAGGCTTTATTTACAGCCAAACGTTGAATTTAACTCGAAGATCTGGATAAGTATACTTTTCTTTATGGAGGATAGACAGCCATCTTTGTCGGAAAAGACGTTCTTACCAAATAATCTAAAATATCCTATTGATCAATATAATGAACTGAGAAAGTTCAGTGACTATAAAATATGGAAGTGTGGGAGACGTAGTGTTAGCAGCTGCTACTATTTTCATTAACAAAAACCAGTACTTTATTTTATTCTCAGTTCGCTCCTCCAAAAAATTCTGCTAATATCAGCCTCGATGTCACATTTTTTGTGATGAAACAAAGATTAGTGCCCAGTGGAAGTGCGAGTACCTCAGCAATTCACGTAGATGTCAATTACCGAAGAGGACCTCAAGAGTGTTCCCAGATACTCCATAGCTACAGGGATGTTGAAATAGTGGTTTATCACCCAGGTTAGATAGGTCACTTGCAGTTGAGTTTTATTCATTTCTTTTATTTTCTTTATACATTTTCTTTTTACATTTCTTTTAGCGGGGTCGACAAAAAGAATCAAATCCCCTGCATGCATCCACTTATACCGAGCCAGAACCTATTTGTCTCTCTTCTGGCTGATACTAAAATAAGTTTGACGATCATCAGTTTCGGCAAGTCAATAACCATAATGATAAATATTAAAAGGACTATGTGTCTCTGACTTATCAAGAACGTGGAACAAGGAACAAAGTTCCCAGTCCCCACGAGGAATCGAACCTCAGACCTTCATATTTTACTCCAATGCTTTTCTACTGAGACAAAGAGACTCAACGGTGAACTGGGACTCTTATGTGACCTCATTACCACTCATCATCAAGCTCAGTCTTTTTTTTCTTTTCTTCATTTTTCTTACTCGCTTTATTATTGTAATTGGTTCCCGAAAATTTTTTTATATGGGTACGGTATTTTTACAATGTTAGTGTCTGATGAGGGACTCGTCAACCCCCCCCCCTCCCCCGCAATGAATAACAAATGCTCCCTTATTTCAACTCCTCAGACTGCCAGGATTTCGGTCCACTGGGAATAAGCGATGGAAGTGTGAAAGAAAGCCAACTGAGTGTCTCCTCTCTGTTTCAAACAAGTTCTGAGATAGGAGGCTACGAGCCGTACGGTGCTGGCTTACATGCCCTTAAACACTGGGCACCAGCTCGAGGTTTCCCTTCATACGATAGACGGCAATATGTTCAAGTGGACTTCAGAGAAGTGAAACGTATTGAAATGGTGAGACTAAACTGAAATGAACCAGAAAATAAATGACTTTCTCTCGTATAATACTAGATAATCTTCTACTTGACAAAATGTTCTTATAGCAAATTATTATCTAGTCATAGTCTGATCCAACAATATAACTTTTGTTGGGGGTCCTTCTCTCAGAGGAAATTATTCCATAAGAAAGAACACGTGTAAAGTTAAACGGGTGCTCTCTTTTTTTGGTACATAATCCACGAAAACATTAACCCGAGGAGAGAACCAAAGCAAAACAACAAAACAAACAGAAACAAAAATAAACAATATAAACCAACAACAACTGAAAGAGAAGCAAAAAAACTGTTTTATTTTCTTTTACATGGCACTTTTTTCTTGCAACTTTTTAACGTACCTGTTTGTTTAAACATTTTATTTTGCCAGGTGTCTGCACAGGGTCACCATGAAGCAAAGGCCCCTATACGATCGTTGAAGTTTAGTGTGAGCAATGAAGGATATCGATGGAAAGACTACAGTGAAAAGAACGTAGAGGTAAAACAACGTTGACCAAAATTTAGAAGTCGGTTGAAGAAAGTGGCGATTTTCACATGATGAACGAAAATCAGTGTTATGTTTCTTAGTCATTCGAGATGAGCTCGAATAACTAGAAATGCGAGAAATCGAAAAATCTCATTCCTCAGTGTGTGCTTATTTCTTCATTCTTCCTCACTATCCTCCCACTTTGGTGTTTCCCTGGCCTGCAGTGTAGGTTTCTTAACGTTAAGAAGCTCGCGGTCGTTTATTCAACCGGCCATATTTACATTTGATTTGGAGGTGAAGGTAGTAGCGGGGAGGGGGGGGCGGGGAAGTTCACCCCCCCCACCTCCGCCCCTCTCCCCCTACCTCGACCTCTCTCCATATTCTTGACCGTCGCCTACCCCTTTGGTACAAATTTCTTTCTCTTCCCAGCCCTCCGCTGCCATTAAAAAAAAAGATGGCGGCTATAATTTTCGATAAGAAAATACTAAGCCTGCTCTGCAGACTAGTGTTCCACCTCACATCTTATTGGATCAGCAATGTCAAAGGCGTCGTGTGAGTAAATAGAACAAGAGAGAAGGTAAATTTTGAACTGGGTGATGACATGAAGAAGGCTAATTTTTCCGTCTTGTCACGAGCATGGAGCAAAGACAAAACATCTTTCTTTAGTTCCTTACTGTGCTCAAAATTCACCATCTTTATTGATCCAAGTGCTTTTTTCATATTTCTGAATTATTCTCTCCATACTTGTTCCCCAGTTCTACTTCACATCTGGTGTTTTGGAAAACCCGGGAAATATGCTAATTACAGCCCTTTTGAAGATGCCACTGGAAGCACGTTGGTTTAGAATCAGTCCAAGATTTCCTGATGGATTCTTCGGGCTAAGATTTGAAGTTTATGGTTGTTCAGTGAAAAAACAGCCCATTCTTTACGAAGGTAATGTCCAAAGTATTTAAGGGGCAAGTTTCTGAAGAAACTCTATTGGGTTCTGCGTCTGTGGGGGTCTTAGAAGACAATTTGGTTTCAACTGAGTAAGAGATGTAAATTTACCACGGTAAAGAAAATTGCACCCAAACCTAAATCACAGACAACCCACAATTCCTCTATTCGTTATGGCAAAAAGCTTACCCTTAGAAACCCTTTACGGTGGGTGATCTACACTATTAGCGCAGTTGATAAAAGCAAATTACCCAAAATTTCAGTCTGAAAAGAGAATTTGAAATATGCAGCTAAATAAATTTTTCTTTTCTTTTCTTAGATTCTTCATTGGGTGTTGAATCTAAAGAAATCACTGACCAGCAAATGAATTCATCCTCTTATGCTGGCGAGAATTGTAAAGCAGCAAAAGCCCGATTGAACCTGCAAAATTTGCAGGGGGCCTGGTGCGCAAAGCAGCCTCCCACAGCTGAATGGCTTTCAGTGAACCTGATTACTAGTCACGTGATATCAGCGGTAAGCCAATCGCGTTGAAATTGATGTATTTCTGATACCTTCAAGAGAAATCTCTATTTGATTTTTGCGTAAAATAAGCACACCATATGTGAGGAAAGTATATGATGTGTGACGGTATATGAATGAGAAGGGTTTGAAGATCGCGGTGAAGGGAACATTGTGAAAATTAAAAAAGCTGAAGGTAACGAAAGTCGTGTGTGGGAGGCGTTACTGGGATCCTGCCCGTTTTACACACTATCCTTGTGTCTCAGCAGGGCAGCAATTTTGCTCCTTCATAGTTTAGCTCAGGTGTAAGGTTTTTTATAATCAATCAAAAACAAACAAAAGCACATGAAAAAATATAACGCGACTATTTAAAACAAACAAAAATTGAAGATACAAAAAAAACAAAAAGACAAAAACAAAAATAGATAAAACCTAGCAAAAGACAAACAGAAAGCAAATCAAAGCGAATGAAAGAAAACCATCCCATGTAACCACTGAACACACCACTTGGAATGCTAACCGGCACGGCATCCAAACGGCTTTTATACATACAATATATAATTGATCAGCAACATGATAATTATAAATATTTGATGACACATGTTGCTTCTGTTCAAACAGGTGTCGACACAATGCAGATTTCCCATGAATCACCATGCAGAGGGCATAATGTACTGTGTGACGTCATATCGTTTAGGATATAAAACTGATGTTCAAAGTCTGCGGAAATTCTATATGGAGAACGGGAGTGATAAGGTACTCGGGACGGGACGGGACGGGACGGGACGGGACGGGACCCTTACAGAGGTGTGTTCGCATTTAGCGATCGGTTATTCTTTATCTCTTGGGGTTGGGGGGGAAGGGATTCCGGTGGATTAAGTCTCAATAATATTTACCCGATTTACCGTTACTTCCGTAACATTTTTCGTACCCCTTTCCTTGGCAGTTAATTGAAATTCAATTTTCCATAGTCCTCTCTTGATACTCTCGTGCGACATCTGAACCCTCTATGTTCCCCCTGAAAACCGCATGACCCC